TCCCTCCATCGGTGTTGATTACGCATAGCTTCGGCCCTGCCGGACAGAGAGAAGCGAGCAGCGAAGGACATGGCGGCAAAACGTCGTGCACATGTTGCCGACGAACATTTTCTCGATCCACTCGAAATGTACATCGTTCCGACACTTTTACCGGGCCGTTCCTTCTTCAGAAATGTCTACAGAATCCGATCCTGGGTAGAGTTTTCGTGCTGAACAAAAAACTTTTCGTACAAATACAAAAAACATTGCGCAGAAACTGCTCACGTCGACACTTTTTTAAACTTTGACATTAATTTATTGCTATTTAGGATCAAAAACAATTAATAAATTGCATGCCACTATATTCGGGAAACTCTCCTCTATCTTTTAACACCAATAAGAACCTTTTAACGTTTATACTTTTCATGCAATACCTCATTTTTGTCGAAAATTTTGGGTTTGTACAAAAGTTCGTTTATTTAAGAAACTGAGGGTGATGGAGCAATTCGGTTTTCGGATTCTTGTTCAGGAAGTGAAGCTCTACAAGAATTTCATAGTGGCTATAGAAACCCAGAAAAAAAGTTTGATTTCGTCGGACAGTGTTATCGTAGATTCATAAAGATTCGTTATTTGTAATGAGGAAAGTCCGGATCTTTATACAAAATAAAAACTGTCTTTATTAACTGCAAGATGCAAAACATTTATTTTCTTTCTTAAGAATTTGAAAGAATTGAACATAATACACTATTATCTCTAAATTCTTTAAATATCGTCACTGTGTTGAATTTAAAGTTGCTCAATTTAAAAGTTAAATAGAAGACTGCCAATTTGATCTGTGGAAAAGTTAATTTTATTTGCGAACAAGTGAATTTGACTTGCCAAGGGATGAATAAAAGCGGCAGAAGTGTTAATTTTATTTGCAAAAAGGTGAGCATGATCCACGAAAGAATTAATTAGGGGTCCAAAAAGGTGAATATGGTCTACAAAAGGATTAATTTGGTGTACAAAAAGGGGCGAACATGACCTAAAAAAGGATTAATTTTGAATGCAAAATCTTAATGTTTACTGAAATCAAATTCGGAAACATAAGATTTCCAAGAGATTCCAAGAGATTTCCTCTGAGAACTTGAGCCGTTTTTGAACCTCTGAGAACCATTTTGCAGATCCTACAGTGTAAAAGTTCCTTTTTAATCCTGACCAAATTCACTCCGTGTTCCACTTCTCGGAACCGCGGCACAGAAACTGTTAATCGAGCGAGATCAACGATCGAGCGGGAGAAACGTTAATTGACATGTCAACAGAACACTTTTCCTTTTTACTGGGTCAGCGTGTAACGTGCGTGTTGTAACTTCGACAGGTTTGTTGAAAGGATCCGTGACAGCTGAGCGGCCTCGGACGTTGCGACGGCTGAGGAACGTTTACGGGCCATCCGCATGCGGAATGGGAGCCGGCGGCGAGGGCGGAGGCGGGGATCGTATCGAGGACGGAGAGGTCCCGTTCCGATTGTCCGATCGTGACCGCGAAAGGGACGAGAAATCCCTTAGCATAATGAGCCCGTTCGACGAGCAGGAGGAATGGGCGAAGATCTCGGAGATCATGGCGTCCTTCGGGACCGGCCTCGTCAGGGAGTCGGTCTTCGTCACTGAACTCGAGAAGGAGTTCCAGACGAGGCTAGGTATACTAAATCTTTTTCATCTCAAGCTTGAGTTTATTCCGACGTTTGACCGCTCGTGGAATTATGTTATCCATTTGGGTGTCCTAATTAAGGGTAGGATCGAGTTCGACAGAATGAGTGATGATAATATACTGACATCTTTTAACCGTGCAGTGGTAATTAAAATGAAAAAAGTATAATAGAAGTATATTGTTTGTGTCACCTTTGAGACTTATTTTTAATGCCACTCAGATCATACTACTTTTTCTCACATCATATGAGCTGTTGAAACCAGAAATTGTGCAAGTCGAAAATGTTAATTTGTGGTTAAATGAAGGATGAATTAAAAGTTCTGTAAAATGCAATAACATATCAAGATTGTTATAACTCTTTTATGTTTATATTAATAATATGTTAATAATATTAAATCAACCTAGCAAAAAATTGACTCATCATTTTTACTTTATTATTAAAATTTCTCAAATCAAATAAGACAATTTTTGTTTCTCTTGCATGTCTTCATTTACTTTCATTCTCAGACTTTTGTGATAGGACCATCAAATTTTGTTTAAATTTAGAAAAATGAATAACATGCATTATTTTTCATTCAATCAATTCAATCAATTAGTAGATTATCAATAAAATCTTTATTTCGAGTTTGACACATTATTATAGTACAAAGAATGAAAACATGAGAAGTAAATTAGTTTTGCATTTTCGTTTACTTTTATTCAATTTTCATGTGAAGCTGCATTACTAAAGGTTTGAATCTACTCAATCAGGATTACAGTATAATTGGAAATTTATTTTTCCCAAAGTACTTACAAATAAACCTGTATGAAAATATTGCTTTCGTTTCATAATGTAAATTATGAAATCATCTCATTAAACTATCAAATTAAATTCGAACATGCTTAAAACGCACTTGATCCTATCTCTTGTAGAACAATTGTTTATTAACCCATGTATGCCGAATGGAGGATTATTTTGACCCGTGAGCGATACGACTTCTTTACAACATACTTAGAACATAAATTATTTAGTGAAATGGTGATGGGGTAAGACGAGTTTTTTTTTTCTAAATGATATAACGGCTCAGACGCCAATCAGTGTAAGTCCATTAACCTTAAAATTCAGATATATAAGAATTTTGCAAATTAGCTGTACAAATTAATAATGCCACTAATAATGCGAAGCGTAATTTTTATTAGAAGATGAAGTTAACCTGAAGAAAAATGTCAATGTTTTTTTTAGCAAACACAATTTCCTCTTAAAAATTTTTTCTTAAGTTACTTCACGGTGAATATATATATAGGTGCTGTTATCTATTGTTTGTTTATGAAGAAATCGACTATATTGATGTATCGACCGAAGGATCCTATGATAAAAATTTGTTTGCGTAACTTATCTTCAAAGAAAAGTGGACTTATACTGATTGGCTCCTGAACCGTTCATACACCTTTCCGATACTAGTTTGCAACGAAAACTTTATTATGGGTCAAAATGACCCTGCATTCGTCTCCCACGACCATCGAAAACCGTTCGGGTTTAGAGGGTCAAGCATGTCGTAACATCGCGAAAGCATTCGTACAAATCTTACACCTGATCTCAACTAGACACCAGTCTTTTAACGGCTCTTACAATTATTTGACGTCAGCGAAGCCCAAGTCGGTTCGTTGAAACGAGCAAACAAGGGAGAGGAACGCGGGGTGTGAGAATTGAAGGTGTCTTTCATGAATTAACTTCACGGTTCTGTCTGATTTGTACGCAGGTCTGAGTTCAGACACCAGCAGCAGCCCCATTGTCTCGACTTCCCTCGGTCAGTGGTTGTCAACGTTGGGTTTGGCGGATTACGAGACTCTTCTAACCAATTACGGTTTCGACGATCTCGAGTTCATCGTGAGTACCTCAACTACAAATTTCTTCCCCACTTTAACCCGTTTGTGACTATGGACGCGATTACAATGTCGTGCCATTCTGTAGACAAGATATGAATTTTGATGCGACCGTATGGAAGAAATGCTATCCAACGAAACGATGCGTAGTTTGTAAAAAGAATGATCGACGGAAAGAACGAAGATTTCTGTGCTGATGTTGGAGTGTTGCCTTATGCATTACACGATTGTATGTAAATTTTTGTGTTCCATAAATTGTTTTAGATCGTTTCATGCGAAATAAGAATACAGTAGAACCTCGGTTATATTATGCGAACTGATCGGAAGAAAACGAACGATCGGATAATAGGACAATTATTTAGATATAATGCTTTATCTAATCTATCTATATAGTGTTTATTTTATAGTGCTTTAGCTATCTATTTTTATAGTGCTTTATCTATCTATATGGTGCTTACTTAGATACAATGTTTACATAATAAGTAACATAATATATTACATAATAATATATAATATAATATATCACAAATAATATAATAATACAAGATAATGTGTTAATATGCGAAGTTCGCATAATCGAGGTTCGTGTAATCGAGGTTCTACTGTACAACAAATTTATTTGCAACATCATATTGCATATTTCTTTCTCGAAATTATGATATAGCGGGAGCTTTTTTTTTTAAAATAGAAACACATGATATTTTACTCCTTTTATTTTGCATGAATTTCAAGTTAACTTTGCTAGAATTTAAAATAAAAGAAAAACAAAATAAGGAACGTTAAACTTTGGTTTAAAATTTTTAAGTGACGTTAAGAGAAAATAGCGATTTCTCCATATATGTTTGTGTGAAATAACAAAAGATAGTTAATACTGATATGTCATTTCAGGCTAGCATCGCATTTATTAATTCAGACTACAGATTTTGTACATTTATTACAAATTAGAACATTAATAGAATTTGCTCGCATGTGCTCGCATCCTCCGTAATTTAGTAAAATTATTAATAAGGGAGATACATTTTTATTTAACTTTTTTTTCGTACAATTGATTCAGAAAATGTTAATTTTACATAAAAATTCACATAGTCTGCTGACAAAACCTGTGGGGCGTCTCACCCATAGAATGGCACTAACAACATTTCAGTCTCGAAATCCAATGGTTCACAAAAGTATAAATTGCACCAAATTATTTGAATTTTTTTAGAGGGACTAGTTTATTGTTTAACTGTTTTAGTGTTTAGTTTTAGATCGAAAATATAAAAAACATGAGATTTTTTATTTTTTTGCCATTCTACCCAATTGCAGTTATCTGTAAAAATTTATTTTACACATTATCTAGTATACTAATCCCTCTGTTATTTAAAAAAGTTCAAATTATTTGGTCTACTTTCAGAAAAGCTATTCCGTTTGAAGAAGGTTACTTTTCTTAATCACTGTAAGGTGGATGTTCTAGTTTTAGATCATTTAAGTATTAACTAGTCAGACAAGGAGGTGCAAATAATCTTTTAAGACTTGTATTATCATTGTATTAATCGTATATCAATTAATTAAAAAAATTAAAAAACGGTATGTAAGAAAATATAGTTACTTATAAATAATTATAGTTAGTTATAAGTAACCATGTACGTATTTTTCCTCACCATTTGTACCAAATTGTGTTCATGCGAAAAATAATGACTAAGAACATTGAAATAAATAGTGCATACATTAAAGTTTCTTTATTATAACTTTGGTATATTTTTTCATAATATTGTTTTTCTTTATTTTTGACAGAAATACAAAAAAAAAAATATAAAATCTTCAGATTACATTAAGACACGAATGTTCGATCACAAATAGAATCAAATAAGAACTTGCATCAATTTATGCTCACCTACATACCTTCGAAGAATAAAAAGAAAAGTTGACGTGTCTTACGCAAATGACACGTTTTCACAACACTATAAGTTCAATACTAGATACTTTTCGCTTCCTTTCTCACGATTTCTTCTTAATATTTCAAGCCGGTCGACGTGTTCGCAATTCCAAATCACGGATTGGTTGCTTCTAAATTTTTTTATATCTTATCTTATTTCGACTCTAGTTCGAACGCATGCGAAAATTGCGTACGAATGTATAAATTATTTAAAAACATTTTTTTTACGATTGCTGTATAAACCTTACATTTTTATAATAATTCGTTAAATGGAAACTGATTATAAATTGGTGCATTGTCGAAAATTGGGACATCCACATTATGTCAGTCATAGTAGCAAAAGATTTAAGACAAGGTTCGATCAAAACTTTGCTTTGGTGTCTACAGAACGGAGTCCTGGACGAGTCGGATCTGAAGGACATGGGGATCAGCAGCGATCAGGAACGAGCTGTGATTATGGACGCCGCTGCTCAATTAAGCAAACGAGTGGAAAAACGAACCGGTAACAGCTGTCAATCGGTGGATGAGTGGCTGAAGAGCATCCACCTGGAGAATTACGCGGAGACTTTCCGAAAACACTTGTACACCGACATGGACCGCGTGAGGTGCGTGTGGGAGGTCGAACTCGCGGCCGTGTTGGAAATCCAGAAGCCGGCGCACAGGAAGAGAATTCTCGCGTCGGTCAGCGGCTCGAATACTCGTGCACAGAATCGCAATTGCACCGGTCCTAACTTGGAGGACCTCAATAAGGATCTCAAAACCTTGGTGAGTGAAATCGTTTGTGTCTGGCGAATGCTAATCAATTTCAGATGGAATTTCATCGGGGTAGGATTGTGCGAAAGAAAGACAAATATGATTACAACGTTGCAAAATTGAAAAACATTGTTAAAAATGTTCTCCTTCTGCTACAATACATTTTCGAAGAGTTTATTTGCATACTCGGTTATTGTGATTTCGTTCGTTTCGATTTGTAAAGTTAGTTGGAACTAATTCGTCGACTTGAATCACCTTCTGAATAATAATAATTTTAATCCCTTTTGTTACCGCCCTCTTTAACTTCTTTTTTTCGGCAGTCATAAGAATGACGGGATTCTGCGTTCCTCCCTTGTGCAATTCAACAATTATAATCTCCTCTTTATCGTTCTTCATGTCTAAGCTAAAAAAATATAGAAAAGTACATCAACGGTACTAATAGATGTAAAAAAGAACAGAAAAAATTCGAAAAATAAAATAAATTTGACACTGAACGTTTTAAAAACGAAAGGAGCTTTTCTCATAAAGGGACAAAATTTTCGATGCATCCTGTATACCGTTACATATTAACAAATATAGAGCATGCTATTTTTCTCTTCGGGAGCGCGAGTCATTGAAAGCGAACAATCGAAAATGTTGCAATCCTGCTGCACCCCGTTGACAGACGGGGGGGATCCATTCGGGTGTTGCCTGTTGGAAGGCACATCGACTGGAAGAGGCTAATGACGTTCGTCACGCGATATCACGGTCCCGTCGCGGTGACACTCTTCCCGCGTCGATTCTCTCACCTGCGAGCGTCGAGGGCGCGCGTCACATCGCGAAGATCGCGTATTAACGGTGGTAACGAAAACACAGAAACAGCGTGTCGGCAAAGGAGGTGGAAGAGTAGGAAGAGTAAGAGGAGGCGTAGTAGGTGTAGGAAGAGTGGGAGGAGAAGGAGGAGGAGGAGGAGGAGTAGAAGCAAGAGGAGGATGAAGAGTAGAAAGAGCATAAGGGCGAGGGGATGTCGGAGGAGGAGCGTTGCAACAATCCCGTTAAGAATTACCGTGAACGGTTCACCGGGGTGTCTGACAAGGGTCGTACACTTGGGCGAAAGAGGGCGAAACGAGGCTCGAGGGTGGCTGTGACACGGCAAGCTCGATCGCTTCTGACGGCTTTTCAGCCGATCGCGTCATAATGTAAATATCGTGGCTAATTGGAGAGCCGTTATTGTAACGCCTGTGCTCGCCCCGCGTGCTTCGACTCACCTGTTCGCGGAGCGCGTACACCGTGCACCGATATGTGTGTACAGAAAACAGGGGCGGCGGCGCAGGTGAAGGGCGGGAACAGGCACAGGGGTGCAGAGGGAGACGGGACGGTAGGCGACACTCGAGAAAGCTTTCAGCCTGATCGCTCGAGCGGACGTTAATGGTTTTTGTTCGGGCGCCTCGAGCGCGATACGCGGATCCGTTAACGAGCCACTCCGTTACCTCGTCCCGCTCGTCTTTTCGGCGCTGCTCCCTTAATTAGCTAATTAAATTCGATTAATCGCCGCCCGGTCGACGCGCACACGCCCAAATTGCTCTTTTTGTTCCTCCGTTTCTCTGGTCCTTACGTCTATTCTTTCGCCGGTAATCGAATTTCACGACTCGCGGTCCGAGAGGACGCGCGACGCGCCACCCCCATCCCCGTTCACCGAGCGATCTTCAAATCTCGTGTCTGTCAAGCTTTCTGTCTACTTTCACCTGTCCCTATCCGTGCATCCTGCTCGTCTCTCACGAGGGAAGCGTCGGACATGGATCACGCACCGATTTGAACGAAATTTGTCAGAGCGATACTTTTATATGTTCAACGAACGTGTACTTATCTTAGTACTAATCTTAGCCGCAGATATCGTTATGAGAAAACAGTTATGAGAAAATTACGTGCAAAGTTTATAAGAACCGTGTAGTCCGGTATACTGGAATAGTAAGCGGGTCCCAGCCAATAGGAATTGTAGCTTATTAACAAACGTTGCTGACTATGAATTTTTTGATCGGAGTTTAACCCCGTCATAAGAATATTTTTTTTCACAGAAACAATTATAGTCCACTACAATTTGATTATGTTAAACTGTTTATTCGCTTACAATTTAAAGCAGTATAATAGACATTTATTTAGTGACTTATAATTTAAAACAGTATAATGGACATTTATTTCATCAATAATATGGTAAGTTTTATAAAATCAGCATCAGCACTCGTTAAAACAAGTCATACATACGCGTAAAAACATCCTGAAACATTGGCTACTGCGAATATAAAGCAAATTAACGTTCACCTCTCTGCAACTCAAATGGCTAAATAGTTTTGGTCAAATCCAGTAATTTCTCCCAGAAACGTTAGGAGGTCGATATCGTAACCGGCAGATCTGAGAATACTAAGTCGCGATTCTTCGAGTCTCGCGGCTCGTTTTTACGGAAACTCGGGGCAGTCGGCAAAAAAAAAAACAGCGGCCAGTATGCTGGTGTACAGTATGAATACATACTAATTATACAAGAATACATACTAAAACGATGACTTAACCTTTTTATTTCTAATTTCTCGCTACGATTCAAAGGCAATTCGGAGGTCACATGCCACGTTACGACCGTTACGTATCTAGCAAAGTAATTTCTCCCTAATTCGCGCACAATAAATTGACAATTCGGTAAGAGAAAATACAATTATTCGAGCTTTCCGTTTCGTTTTTATAGTTGTAGACAATCGGTATCTATAAGAACGAGCTGCAAGGCTCGAATAATCGTATCTCCTCTTCCCAAATTGTCCATTTTTGAGTACAATCTGAGCGCGAATTAGGGAGAAATTACTGTATCTACCACGTACCTTTTAGCTGCGCAGTTTTTCTTATTTGATACACACCCAAACAGATCAGTTTGTATTGTTTTCCGGGAATTCGGAAGAACTCTGTCGACCCTTAGCAACGACGTAGCAATACAAATTCACAGCAACTCGAAATTTGGCATTTCCGAGAGAAACTACTCTACTTGTTTCCACGCATCGTTTTCTTTGTCCACTGTATTTTTCAAAGAAACAAGCTAAAGTATTAATCATGTGCCGTGTATTTATTCAATATATGTCCAATTTAAAGTTGCCAAGACATATATTTATGTAGTAGCAGTTGAGGTGCAAAAAATCTCGTTTTTTTAAATTAATTCGTTACTATCGCTTTTGGTCAAATCTTTATTGCCAGAAATTAAATCGGTGTGAACCATGCCTGATGCTTTTTATGTCAATCTCCTCTCTTTCTTTTTCTCTATTTATCCATCTATCTTGATCTCCCGTTTCTGGTTTTTCGTTGTCCCCATGTTTTTCACAAATTATATAGCCAAGCCAGATGTAACAAATGATTCGCGGCGTGTAATCCGAATTCGAGGGACACGCTCGCGTGCCTCGGATCCGATTCGATCGTAACTCTCGAACCGCCGCGCATTTCGCTCGGCTAGATCGTGGAAAGTTTTCCCTCTTTTTCGGGGCCGCAGCGCAGGGCGGGGTTGGATATTCGAAACACGACTTTTACGCGTGTAATTGTACGTTCTGTGACGCGAGCCGGATTTTCAAGCGTGGCCTTGCATCGCCTTGCAAAAAATTTTGCGCTGACGGGCTCGTTCTCGTTTTTTCTTCTTTTTTCCTCTCTCTTCTCTCTCTCTCACTCTCTTTTTTTTACCCTTTTCCCGGTTTTGTTTTTTTTTCGTTCAGCAACGTATCGGGACCGGTGAAACGGGTACAACGTTGCGTCACACGGTTCAGCGATCAGGGAGAATATAAAAAAATGTTTCCTTCTGTTGTTCGGATGTTTGCGAGACCATGGGGATGGTTTTGCGTTCGGTAACATCGGCCCGTGACTTTTTTCGTATGCGGTGAAGTCGATTTCGTTGGTTACTAGAGACGAGTCTGTTTTTTGTCTGTGACCGATGCTAATACTGAGCGACCTTCCTAACCGAAACTCTTCAAGTGATACCCAAGTGATACCCATTCAAGTGATATTGCGTTCAGAGTTTACTTTATTTTTGAGATATTTTTTACTTTTTTTTTTTAGATCTTGTGAATTTAGTTACCTTTAAATGTTTGTTGGAAGCGATTGGAGTCATGGTTTTCGAGATATTTATTACTTTCTTTTTAAAATTGCTATAAAAAAACGTTCCATATTTCTCAAAATTTCCTGCTTTATTAGAGAGTATAAACTTACTGGTTAATAATGATAAATAATTTCAACGGTGCAACGTGCCACAAAATTGGATCAACAGGATAGGCAACTGAAATTATTTTTCATAATTAATCGGTAAGTTAAGTCTTTTTAATACAGCAAACAACTTGGGTAAGTTTTTGTCTTTTTGTCCTTTCTTTTGTTCTTTGCACTCAAAGCCATTTCAACTGTGAATCTAAACTAATTTTTCTGCCTTTATTGTATTTCTGTTTTATGTGACAATGTGCATTTTACGCGTACGAAATTCAGTCTTGCGACTCTTACAACAGTTATACTTTTAATAATTCTTGAAATCTAAACTTCAATTGTATAAAAATTATCTTGAAACGTGATATAACAATTGTGTGTGTGTGTAGTGGCTCCTCGGGACTACCACGTGAACATTATAATTCTGAATTACGATCGTAACGTATCGTAAAGTCTCCGTCTGTAGTTCAAAATTATAATGATCACCCGGTAGACGCGCCACGTCGCTATGCAGGACTCTCTGCGCATGCGTCATCATCCCACTCCTCGCGTAGCCAGTTTTCCTGTAAACACTGGGCATGCCACGGAACGACGCGACATGCCAGGCTCGGCTCGCTTTATAGAGTACAGTAATTTTTTCCAAAAATATTCGGAGGTCGGAATTGAAAATACTAAGTCGCGATTCTTCGAGCCTCGCGGCTCGTTTTTATAGAAACTCGGGGCAGTCGACAAAAAAGGCAGCGACCAGTATGCCGGTAAATATCAATATGAATATATACAATAGTAATACTAGAATAAAAACGATGATTTCACTTTTTTTATTTCTAATTTTTTGCCACGATTCAAAGGCAATTCGAAGGCAATTAGGTGGCCACATGCCACAATTCGAAGGCAGTTCGGAGACCCAAACTGACCATTTTGTGCTGTCTTCCGGGAATTCGCGTCGCGTGCCGTATTACACGCAGTAAATTACATAGGCGTAGGACTGGAAGAGGGAAATTCACAGCAACCTGAAATTAGGCATTTCCGGGAGAAATTATCGTACTTGCACAATCCTACGATAGAGTTGGTTCTATTAACTTAAATCATCAATATTTCCAATGGCGTAGACTTCCTAATCGAATCCAAGGTGAACATCTTCACTATTAAAATTCAAAGAGGAACAGTGTCAAATATAAAGAAATAATCAAGTAATGCTTTCATTTTCAAACGATAGACATCTCTTTAACTTTGGTTTTTACATACGATAATAATGTTTTACTTTGCATAAATATGTGCAGTTTACTATGTTACTGATCTACTATTACATTTTCTCATCAATGTTTGAAATATTGTTCATAGAATTAAAAGAAAAACAAACTAAGTGAGCAAATGATGGCACAGTTATTGGTTTATTTATTTTACCGGTCAGACATCTGAAAGTTCCAAATCGATCGCTGATCACAACCTGTTGATACGACACTGTATAAATATTCGAGTTTATTTCGCTCGATAAAGATAATCATACATTGATTGATTCACAGAATAAATATTAGTGTTCGTTCATTTAAAGTTTTTGTTCATTCATTGATTGTTCCACGCATCGTTTACAAAATTTTATATTACACTTTTTAAAAAAAGCTGTAACTATAAAAAAATGTTAGATCTTTGTTCAGACATGTATGAACTAAAAAGTAAAACAGTTCGCTTACAATATATTATTCAGAGGATAGAATGACGATTCTTGGATGATCATTTGAAAAAAAAGAACACTTTTTTTTCATAAATGTATTAAATGCCATTCAAATGGATAGACATCTTTTTATATATGTATATTTACCAAATATTCCTTTGGGGCAAATAGTAATGATTCTAGGATATTACCCCTTTTATTATTTACGAAGATAATAGTGTACACCTGAACGAAAAATGCCAAAACATTTCCGAAAGAAATTCGGAAAATTCTTTAAAACTTGATAATTAGAAAAATTTAAAAAGGAACACACATAAATGAAGAAATGAAACTGTCGTTTGTTAATAATATTAAGATAACAACATTTTCTCAAGTCCTGCTAATACGACGGATATATCGTTGCTCGACGCTACAAGAGTTAAATACTGTGTTAAAAGTGTTAAAAGTGTCAGCGATACATAGACCATATATATTGCTAAACACGACATGCATTTAATGTGTATAGTACGTGTATAGAAAATCTCAAAGTCCAGTGAAACAAAGATAACTGTTCATTCTGACGTGACTCAGAGTAAAAAATGATTATTCAAAATAGGACTTTCAGTTCAATAGGCATCAGACTTCAAGTTATTGGTTTTAAATAATGTGTGTTCTTCGGTGTTATTTTTAATGAATACAATTGGTGTACCTCGGTGTAATTTTTAATTAATACAATTAATTAAAGTAATGAGTTTAGCAACATTATTGTCACATCCGATTGTATTAAATAAGAGAGAATTTACAGAAAAATGACAATAGGATAGGAAGCAGACTGACAAAAACTATTTTATCTTCTAATCAGTAATTATAAATAAACAGCTTTTCTCCAGGCACCTATGCGTTGCTGTTATTATTTCTTTAGATTAAAATAAATCATAACAAAATAATTATGGAATGAATGTTATTAACATCTCCATTAAACTTTAAATACATTCTGTGAAACATTCTCGCAAAATGCATATTTCATATTTAATTAATTGAGCTTGTTTTCCGAAAATTAAACATTTTTGCGTATTCATTAATGTAAAACATCAAAAAAGTTTAACACGTTTGGATCATCCGTGCATCACACTTTCGAAATTGTGGATTGTATACCATAATAGCATAGCTTACACATCTTATTCATTCACGATACCACGTCATTCATAATTTCATCTCTGCTTCGGAAAAATTATCTGAAGCCGTGTCTATACATAGGTATACAGCATGTCTAAAAACTGTCTCGCAATTCGGAAATGGGGGGTTCCTCAGATCATTTGAAGTAACTTTTTCCTTAGGGAAAATGCAATCCGCGGCTTTGTTTACGAGCTATTAACAAAAAACATTGACCAATAGGAGGTGAGCTCGGCTGGCGCGTGGCAGCCCAATCAACGAGCGCATAAAGCTTAGTTCCGCTCATAGCCTCGGCAGTCTTGCGCAAGCCAAGCTCGTCTCTCATTGATCACTGTTTTTCCTTAATAACTCGTAAACAAAGCCGCGGATTGCATTTTCGCTAAGGAAAAAGTTACTTCAAATGACCTGAGGATCCTCCCCCCCCCCCTATTTCCGGATTACGAGACATTTTTGAGACACCCTACATGGTCTAAGGTACGATATATTACGAGACAAACATGTCGTCGAACATAAACACCGGGGAAAAAAGTTTCGTGGAGTGGCGGTAAAGAAGGATTGCTGGTAACGCGCCCGCATATCCTCGTTTCCGCAGAAGACGAACATACAACAGCTGAAAGAGGAGATACGAGAAAAACTGCCGGAAACAACGGCGGAGGGTAATGGCAGCACGTCGATAACCGGAACGAATTCGACTACCACGGGCACATTAAGGCACCGCAAAAATAGACCGGCCCCGCAGCCACCCCAGCGACCCAGTTCGCATAATGGGGCGATCTCGGCACCGGAACAACTCGAGATCAGGGCACCGTCGGAGCTGCTTTTCGGCGTCCCGTCCACCCTGAAGACGCAATGGAGGCACCAGCCAAAAGCTCTAGTCGCCGGCTGCGTCACGTACGTCGCCAACGTAAGTCTAATTGCTTTCTTACTCCCCCTCTTCTCCTATTTCTTGGCTCGTTACCGCTCGCATACTGTCGCGAGATCACACACAGTCGAATCTTCCTGATACTTTGGTCATTGACGGGAATATTTGGCTGTTTGCACCGCTCCACGGTTTCCCGGATCGCATTACATACGGCCGTGGACAGTCGGTGTAAAGAGTATTTGTACACCTTTTAAGGATGGTCACCATTTCAATAGTTAAAACAAGTCGATATTTTTTATTTTCTTAATATTTTAGGTGCGTAGAATTTTATGTTTTTCTCGAAACTATATTTTTCAACCTGGCTGTCACATGATGCTCAGAAGTATACATCCGATTTAATTCAAATTTGTTGAAGATATTCTGCATGGACTATTTCACGGTGTAGCGTCAATGATTTAATTCTTGATAAACACTTACGCTTGATTTTTGTGGGATAAAAACGGGGAAAGCTGGTTTGTATTTTTAAACTGCAGCCATTCAGAGATCTCAATATTTGCAAACTGTGACGGCCAGCAATCAATGTGATACCCTACGAGAAGGGAATTCGGAAACAACGAATAACTCCGCAATTTGTTCGATTTTTAAACATTTTTAAAACGATTTTTAAAAAAATTGAGAAACAAAGCTAAAACTTACCAAACTTTACCTATCTCTTAACGCCTCAGGTGGAGTTCTTCCTTAAAACGGGCTAACTTTTTTATAATTGTGCCAAGCGATCTAAATTTTCTTGGATGTTAGACAAATTTTAAATATTGTATTCGAAGTGATGTTTTCTCAACTTATTTAGACAATGTGTGTACAAATTTTTGCAAATATAACAATTGGACGAAATGACGAAAAAATTACATTTTTCGATCTTTTAATTTATTCATTTTTTCCCCTTTTACCATTCTTATACTAGTTTGTTCGTATCTCCGATTTGACTAATGGTCTATCTCACCTTTATATGTATAATAAATAATAATAGTAATAATTATGCCTTTGCTTTTTAAAGAGATAATTTAATTTTCCTGTCTCAAAGTTGTCAATTTTCTAATCATGTTCGAAAGCTGTTTTTTATTTTTCCTGGAAAACATATTTTGTTGAGTTAGCGTCACTTTCGTCTCACATGTGTGCTACAGTTATCGCTTGAACTACAAAAGCCCTTAACAACAAGCCTCTAATTGCAAGTTCTTCCTTTCCATAATAATTTTAATTGATTAAAAATAATACGTTGAGATTTAAAAATTCATATAACATTTTTACTATTTTAAATTGCAACTACTAAATTTTGCCACAAATGCATAAAATCCGCAGTGTGGATTCAAAAATTTCTTGAATTTAAAAATTTTTTGTAAAAATAATAATTAGTTCATACCGATTATCTAAATTGTCAATCTAGAGTTCAATGGTTTGCCGCGTGATTCTAGAGACAGGCTTTTTTTCTGTTTCAAAACCGCACAGTATCTGGGCTCCACCGTCGTGAAAGAACTGCGTGGCACTGAGTCTACAAAGAAGTCTATACAGAAGCTGAAGAAAACATGCCGCGAGCCGAGAGTCACTCCTGACATTACTTTGGCCATTTCTTTTCGTGGCGTTCGTTTCCTGAATACGGTTACTAACGTAAGATATCGTTCTCCAGTGAAATTAAAAATAAATTATCCAACATACGTTACTGTTAATCCTTCGTGCTAGGTTACGAAAACGCTGATCGTTTACAAAAGTCATTATCTTCCAGAATTTAAATTATATTTCGGATTTCTTAAATTATTGTTACTAGTCGTTATTATCATTAACGAGAATTATTAGCTACGGGACTTAAGATCAGTTTCGTTTGAGAATACAGTAATTTCTTTCTAATTCGCGCTCAGATTGCGCACAAAAATGGACAATTTGGAAAGAGGAGATACGATTATTCGAGCTCTGCGTCTTGTTTTTATAGTTGTTGACAATCGGTAATTGTAAAAACGACCTGCAAGGCTCGAATAATCGTATCTTCTCCCCAAAATTGTCAATTTTTGTGCGCAATCTGAGCACGATTTAGGGAAAAATTACTATGCTATGAAATTGTTTGGAACCATGTAAAAAACGAAACGGGGCGATATGTTCGATTTCGTTGGTTTCTTTAGTGCTTATCAAATTCTTGCGCAAATTTGATGGTAAAGGATTAACGTTGTAGCCTAACGTAAGGTTCGATCTGTGTATTTTTGCATTTGGAATGATACAAATCGATAGGAGCCCATTTGCGTGCACGAGATTCGCAATATCCACTGCGCCTGCCAGGACGCCGACGATCTTACCCATTTCGCGTATATCACCAAGGACCACGACAGCCCAACCCACTTTTGTCACGTCTTTTGTGTGCCGACAATGGTAAGTCTATCTTTATTCCACGTAATGATCACGTTTTAGGAAGAAGTTGTCGAATTTGAACGAGTGCCTATTAAAGCTAACTTACGACTTCTTTAATACCGTCGATAAAACTGCAAATATTTTTTTCCTTCGAAATGTATCTATAGCAAAACTAATCTCAAAGCAAAATTCATAGCCAATTAACCTTTCGAACTAGAATTTTTTTCACAGTTAGGTTGATTAGCTAATGATTCGGTGAAATGATTTGATGAAAATCTATATCGCTAATGAATTTTATAGATGAGAAAAGAAATTTATATTTATTGCGTGCAAACCTTTGCTTTAATATTTGAAGAATTTAAAGAAAGTGCTTAAGATCTTCATTTAGTAGATTATGCGATACATGATCGTTCATCTCAGGCACTAGTTCAAGGGCTTGTTAAAATTCAGAAAAATGTAGTCAGAAGAAAAGTTATTGTATTATATGATAGTATTAGATAACGGAACAGTATTCTTTATTTTACCACAGACACGAAATGCTTTCATTCGCGATAAATTTTGGGTACTGTTATTCATTGTACTTAGCGTTCTACATGTAGATCCCCGTTTTAGTTGGCAATAGAGCACATGGTAGCAGAAGCCTATACAAAGTATCATGTACCATCCGGTAGCACATACATAGTACATAAATTCGGAGTAGAACAAACTCGGGCTCATCTTTCGATTCAGTCTCAACTGTGTACCAGCCCCGAACACGCGCAGCATTCATATCCCGCGAAAGCCGTTCACAATAGAGTTCGAAAGCAAGACAAAGAAATTGGAGCATCCGCGTCTAACTTTCCGTTTCCAAATCTTCTTGTAACTTGAACGAAAAGGGAGACGCAGCCTGTTCCAGCTTCGTGGCTTGCTCCTGCGAGAAATGTACGAAGCGAGACTTGCCTGTTCTAGGACCAAGCGACAGAGGTGATTCTAACTCTTGGTCAAGCGTTCGAGGTAGCTTACCAAATGGCGCTGAGGGACAAGTTAGGTGGTCACACGGTCCGATCGCAGTCCGCGAACCAATTGATCGCGTTCTCTACGAAATTGCCAGCAACCACCAAGTTACCAGCGTCGCCTGATTCCGCGGCAGACCCAGGTCGCGAGCAGGAGCAACCTTCGGCGACGGGCCCAGGCTTAAACTCGTGCAACAACGCAACGACGAGATTAAAGCTGAGATCGAAATCGTCCATCGCGAACCCGATCATCCAGGTGGCCAATCCTGCGCAGGACATGAACTCGAACTCCAGTTCCGGCTCGAGCACCACCGCGAACTGCACTTCGAGTTCGAACCCTGCGACCAGCCCGAGCACCAACTCCGTCAGCAGCTCGAACTCGAACACCAGCACGAATCAGACCGCCAAGCCACTCGTCACTCACGGCCGGTCTCACTCGGTGAACGATATCAAGCTGAACGGCAACCAGCTGAAGCTAGCGCCGGTGCCCGTCGACGACATCGGCATAGGCGTCAAGGACATGAAGCCTGGCTCGAGGGCGCCGATTGCTCTATCGGAAGAGCTCTAGACGGATCGCCGACGAGTTCTCAGAATCGTGGAAAGTTTCTTCATGCTATGAAACTGTTCTAGACCTGGTCTAGGTCCGCCAGGCCATCCTCTAACTTCTGCTGGCAGCTAATCCTCGTTCGACGCGCGACTTCGAGGAACGTTGCCTGCACGGTCGAACGATGGCTTTTCGAGGTTTCCAGCCGGTGTATTTCAGCGGAGGTTGGCATAATACGTGCACCGATGTTTCTACAGTATCAGTGGAGCTTCCGCTTGCTGTATGGTAGCTGGACATCGTCCCAGATGAGGCGATCGCGATCGCTTCGCTTTTGGATCGCCCCATGTGACGATCACTCGGGGCACTGATGGACCGTTTATCCGGTACCTTTTTATCTCTCGAACTTTTGTAGTAGCGTTATACACGTATGGTCGCGTTTCGGCGTACTTCGACAGTTTGTATGAACACTTTTTCCCGGGGCGAGTCACGGAGGGCCTCGCGGCGGCTCAGGTAAGTGGACGACTCCGTCGAATCATACTTTGCCAAATTCCACACTTACGGGACCGTGTCCGACCGACCTTCGAACAGCGACACTGTGATTGTCCGCATCGAGAGTATTAGAAGAAGACTCGTCTGGATGGCAATCGAGTGCTCACCTTTTACACGTTTCTCGCGTGATCGCGTGGCGAGACTGACAGGTACCCGGAAACAACGAATTCGAAACGAACTTTGTTACAATCACTTAGCTCCGCGGCGTGTTCCGTTCATCCTGAACGTTCTGACGACTTGAACCGTTGTGATAGGCGCATCGAATAGGATCGGACTCGAGAATCTATCATTCTCGAGTTTCTGTTTGACGATTCTGCCGAGAAGACTGTGGAAAACTTCTAGATTGTTACATGTTTGAAGTCGTGACAATACTAGAAGCCACGTTTAGATTTTAGAGCAATTGTCAGGTGCAGAGGAAGCGTCCAACCAAGAGATATTACCGTGTTGCGGTTAATGTTAATTACCCTTACTTTGTGTAGCTGTTTGAAATTCGATACCCACTGATATTTCTCTATTTAGTAAAAGACGACACGCAAATCGTGATATTTCTAACAGCTGTGAATATATTTCGATCGAATTTGATCGTCCAACCGGTTTCCCGTTTACAAAACGTTGTTTCCCATTGAAATATCAACAACAGGATAGTCAGGATGAACGGAACAGACCGCGGCAACGAAAACGCGACCGTTTCTCGCGAACGTTCTCACCGCGCGAAGCGCGCGTCTATCACGATCAGTATTATTCGACTAAAATAATGCTCCTGACACCGTAGATATTTTCTAGTTGTACGCACGATCTTTTGTCGGTACAGATGAGTGAGGAACGTAACATCGATGTCTCGCCTAAATTAACTAAAGGAAAAAAAAACGAAAAACAAAAGTGAAAACCGAAAAAAATAGAGCTCGAGATGGAATCCCCCTCCCTACGGCTCGTAAAAAATCGATCGACACATGCACACGTACACAGTCACGCGCGCACACACACATACATACATACATACGTACACACACAGACACCATACCCGCTCGCATGTACGCACAGACACGACACGGTAAAAAAAAAAAGGAGAAGAAAAAATGCACATTCCGCATCAAAACGACACAGGCGAGCTGACAAATTCCAGTATGCTCAATTTTCGAACCCGAATAAGTAAGTACTAACGACTGATGAGACTTTGAGGCTGAATTGTTCTTTCGTTAGCTCCCCCTCGCCCGCGAAACCGTGGACAACGATCGATTTATCGTCCGCGTTCGATTTCTTTTCTTCCACGATCGATTCTGCCGCGTCGTTACGAGTCGCCATCGTTTTCTCGACGTTTCATCATCCAAGACTGAGACAACCCTCGCTTCGTTTTGTATTCCAGGCGTTTAAGGGTTACGTATAAAGACATACACGCGTATACACACACGTACACGGATAATTACACAGGGACAGGACGATGTAATTGCGGAGGACAGGCACACGTATTATTGTATTATAAAGAACGAGAAAATGAAAATGGAAACGAACGGAGAAAGATGAAGCTCTCCGTAACTAGTGTATTTACTCCAGTGCTAATTCGACGAACCTCGCGATTAGGAAACGAAACTATACCACGAAGCGGTACCAAATATCTATCTAATACGCATACGTATACACATATATTTAAATACTCTATGGAGTCAATATGAAGGCTCCCTGTAACGTAAGGATCCCCGAGTTGGATGTAAACGCACGAGAGCGAGTGGACCGAGACAAGCTCGAAACTTCCGTCGAATTTCATGAATCAACCGTGTTTAACATTGACAGGCTCAACGAAGCAGTTACAAAGGAAACATAATAGCAGAGACAGCAGATTATCGTAGATAAGATTTCGATAGAGATATAAAAAAAGACAAAAAAACAATGAGTGAGAGAGATTACCGTTGCGTCAATCGGAAGTTCCTTGCTACGCGAAATCCGACGTGTCTCAGCTTCAATTCGGTTGGGCCCCAAGGTGTTATAGTAGTATCGTCGAGCAACGCGTAGCATCGTAGCTCCGTTCTTTCAGGGAGCAGGCCTAACGACTTCGTAGATATCGAATGGAACCGAGAGGAGAGTTGCGAACGGAGGAAGAAATAACCTGCTGCAAGATGGTGCCGGTGCCATTTTTCTTGGTACTCTGTACACGCTTAGATTGCTCCGTAGCGAAACCAAAGATTGCATGTATGTACATAGAAGCGAGGGATCGTAGGATCGAGCAACGAACAGCCGGATCTCGATCGACTAGCCGGATCGAGAAGGCTGGACTCGGTCCGCGATCGGTGATAGAACGGAAACAAATGACGAACGGAACACGAGAGAGAGAGAGATACTGCCAAATAAACACACTACGAGTACCGCGTGGGTATACGCACACTTTGTATTCGTCACGTTTAGACGTCGTAGGTAATTATGTATACAGGATTACGCGGTAAGGTGAACGGTAGATGCGGTGGTCCGCGGGCATCGTGATAACAGTCATTTCGCGCCGCAGAGTTGTAATTATATGTGTATCCTCTACGCACCGGTGTATTTCGCGTAGCGCAGCTATCGTAGAAAAAGTAGTATTCCGAAGTAGATCAGCACGTTTTCCTCGATGTCTCAGTAAATATCAGGTAAGGAAGTGACTCGTTCGCGAACTAGTAGTCCCAGAACGGAGAGTGGCGGAAATCGCGGGCTCGTTGGACGGTTTGATGCCCGATAGCGTCGACGAGTTGGCCAGATTAACTATCGTTTGATCGTGAGAACTCGAGGAATGCTTCCGACCACGTGGAACTAGCAACTCGACTCGAACACAGACGGTTCTTTCGATGATAATCGTTCGGCGACGGCGGCGAACGTTCTCGAATTTGTTCCACGGGAAGATCCACGCCGATGGGCTTGTTACGTTTTTGTAATTGAACGTCGCGATTGAACTTCTTGATCGGCTGAAAGTGCTGCAATAAAGTCTGATATTTCGAACGGCTTTGGAACGCGTTCACGTAAGATCACGGCGAGGGAAGGAGAGGTGCACCGACTTCGTCCCTACTCCTGCGATCTTGAAGGTTTGCTGTCGATGTAGTCCGCCGAGTGCTCCAGTAAAGCTTTCGTACAATTGGTGAGAGTTTCTATAACTCGGTGAGAGTTTCCCACTACAGTAACGCTACCGTGGTAGTGCTACACTCATACAAATATAATTTAAAAAAGTAAGTGAGCACCGATGGAAACATCAGCAACTGTCGCGGGAACGCGAGGAAGTAAAATTTCAGTGTCGTAGAAAATTTGTGACGGGGCAAATCGTAGTCGGTCCATCTCCTCTTCTTACACCGTGCGTAAGATTCACCGTGGGTTTTGTTGATCGAAGTATTTTTTTATGATTTTCTACGTGAATAGTAAATTTGTCGATTTTGAGGCAACTTTCGGAACACAGATTCCGACGAATTTTTCACAGTGCGCAACGTTTTCGGTATCCGAGAAATACTGGTGTTCCGTGGAGACGATCTGCGGGAACAGTAAGGATGATTAGTACAAATCGCTTAAGTAATCGTGAAATTGAAGACGCAAATAGCCGAGTTCGCCGAGTGTCCAAGCTGCCGAGTGTCACGACCGCTCGCGCAATTAATCACCCGAATCGTTCGGTGCTCCGGTGTTCGGCGATCGGAGGCTTGAACACTTGAGAACACGGACACGCGAGTATTTGAATTGTTCGATACACCAGTTCGTTTCATACTCGAAGTTTTCGAGTATTTGGATACCTTAGGACTCGGATGCCCGAGTGCTCGGGCGTTCGGAAGCAAATTAGCGCTTCGGTTTAGCAAGCGAGTGCGACCCGAAACACAGGAACGTCGCGCTGTATCGGCAACGGAGTCCGGCATTGTTCGAATCAAATTCGATTCGTATCACCATTTCGAACAGATTCTTCGAATAGCATTTCGTATAAATTCTTCCGATGAAATTTTATTCGTTATTTGAATAAAATATGCCCGGCTCCGATCGATAAGTATATCGTGGCCGACGTGTCCATCCGTTTCGCCGTGTCACGACGCATTCATAGATTCATTTTCGAATCCATAGAGACGCAGATACTGCGCCGAGCTTTCTTTCACGATACTATTCGCGACTGGGAGCAACAATCGTTTCATCCATCAACGAACAATAGGAGTTGCGGCGGACGCAATCTCGCAGGTGCCAACGATGGAGCCCGTTTTTATATCCGATCGGCACACAAGTTCGAGCCGATTTCACGATCTGTGTTCTTGTTGTCGAGGCGTTCGCCCGAGGGTAACCGGCGAACGTTGTTCGCCGATCGATTGTAAATAGACGTAGTATCGAGCAGCGGAGATCGGTAGCCGTTTTGTTTCGCGGACTGTACATTGTATCTTCCAGATCGCCGGCAGACGTTTCAACCGCTCGACACGCCGGACGCAATAGATAGACGCATGAAATAATTTATTTCCTTCCAGGGTCGTCGATACGGGTCGATGCAAATGCGGCACCCGCGATCGCGATACGACAGAGGCATCTATATACAGCATTTAACGATTAAGTATTTATACGAGTAACGACCGAGTAAACTTTAGTTGTACGACCATAGATATCGATAAAAGCGTAGACCGATCCGAGTGGTATCGCGACGAGTTTAGACAGAACTCGAGCCTGCCGATCGCGCGAGGATACTCGTTCACGGACCAAGCGACACGACGAGGCGAAGCCGAAAGCGAAAGCGAAGATCGGTGGACGATCGGTAGCTCGTGAACCAACGAGTCACGACGTATTTAAAGGCGTGTCCGAGACTTGGCCACCGAGGCGGATACCGTTAATCTCGAATAAGCTTTGTTTCTCGTGAGTAGCGAGGTAGACGATTTATCATAACGATACAGGCGCGAGGCGTAAATGTACATAGGTGTGTGGTTAAAAACTAGAGCGTCCTACAGCGATCACCGTGAATCAGTTCACCGCAACGATACCAAAGAAACGGTCGAGGCAACTTCCTAATTGTACATTAGACCACTTGTGTGCGATTAAACTGGCGTATACTAATTACCCCGATGGCTTCCATGTGTTGTTGATTTTCGCGAGTCACCTTGCGTCTTGAGATCCCTCGGGCCTCTCTCGATTCCACTTTGTGTCTGTCTGTGTTTATCAGTCGTCTCGCAATCTTCGAACGCATCATCCGAATTTTTCCATGAAACGTGTCTTTCCAGTTTCGGTGTAAGAAACGGCGTCCGCGCGTTTAAGAATGCTTTCTATTTCGTTTTATTTATTTACTTCGCGGAAAATACTCGCCGTGTTTCGTCAAATCCGTTCGGCTCGTTCATTAGACGCGGCGGCACGCATTGTTTCACACCGGGAAACACTTGCGCGAACGTTTTCCCTGTCCCGCATCTCGCAACGTCGCTTCTCAGCCGAGCTCATCCGAGTGAATTTGCGTTCGTCCTGATTACGCGGCCGTTTCCCCGGGAAACGCGATGTCATTAACGCGGTGCTTATCTCAAATCGCATCAATTTGAGAGCCGGATTCGCGTGATCATTCGCTCGCCGCAGCGTCAGACGTGCCGCGGAAAAACTTCGCGTGCCTCGTTAACATTTTCACGTGCGAGGTCCTTCAAATTAATTAAGCAAATGTCGCCGCGTTTCGAATCCGCGGCCGCGATATACTTTCATTGGTTCGTTGACAATTAACAATTTCGCCCGCGAGTGTTCCGTCTTCACTCGGAAGTTCGAATTTTTCCTCAAATTCAATTTTTGCACGGCTTGCGATGTTAAACTCGCAGTAATTAAACATGCTTAATTTGCGAATAACTGCTGTTGTATTCGCGCCGTTTTTTTTTCTTCAAACGTATCAGGATGACAATACTGATAATGGATTGATTTTTCTTTGTCAAGCGACAGTTCGCACCGTTTCGAGCAGGTTCAGTTGAGCACGAGATTTCAACGCGTCTAAGCATTTATGTATTTTATTCGACGTATGAATTTATTTCGAATTCCCTTGCGATGTATTTTTAATCTAAAGACACGTTTTGTATACGATAAGCTACGCCCTATGTAATTTCGTGAAACGAGTTTCAGATTAACTTGTAGACAATCGAAGAAACGTCTGAGATTCCTAAGTTGAAGCGCAGACTAATTACGCGAACTGATTCCGGTGAGAGCGTTTCTATCTCTTCTAGAATCTTTGTACAATTGTCGCGCTAACAGATTGTAAGAATTCGTGTTCGAAGTTCAGAGCTATATTCAATGACTTATAAAAACCGTCTCTCCGCACAGTATAATCTAGTAGTATTTTCTTTGCGCGGCTAAGGTAGAAGCTATTCGGTAAGTTTCATGGAATTTCATCGAGTAATTACTTTTTAAATGTCACCCGTTATTAAACGGTCTCGAGTTTTCCCGATTTTCTATCTCTTGCTCGATCGCACAGCAGCATTTCCTTTTCCACTTTCAAGCTGTAAGCATTTTTGATATTCACACTTCTGACCGCGAGACGCGAAGCTTACGCGTTCGACTCTTCGTGCACCAACTATTATAGCATTTCTTTTTATACGTCTTCTCACGTGATCAATGGTCCACTAGGTGTGTCACCTTTCTTTCATCATTGAACTCGTTCACTATTTAATTGCACAAAATACCTTTCGATGAAACAACGTTTTCAGCAATCTGCGAACCAAGATTTATCCGTCTTCCTTTCCAAAAGTTACCGTACTTTTCGTGTTTGATAATTAAGAATGGGTCATTTAATATTCGAGTGTACCACAGTAATCCCCGTTTAATAGTCCCTGCGGCTATTAATAAGGCTCAGCTGTTTCGACAAGTGATATGTTGATAACATTAAGGATACCAACAGTTTGTAAAAGCGATCAATACTTACCAAATAAACGACGACTAAAAATATTGATGCGACGATTTTTTCAGGTTTTTATATTGTCTTGACTCTCGCGACGTTTTAAAATAATTTTTGTCCTCATTTAGGTATAATGCTACATTGCACTTATTTTTATTACGAAAACGTATATCCTGCGTAGAAAGTCAGGACACATCAGGTCGAATCAAGTGATTAACACTATTTCTATCGAAGGTTTACAAAGACACCTCATAATTTCCATTTAACACTATTTTACCAAAGGGGTTAAAGAACATCTTTTAATAAATTTTAATAAAAATTATTTCTTATGTTCCATGTTTTCTATGTAATCACTTCTCGAACTTTGCTGCAGCCGTCACAAAATTATGGTAAAGATAGTGTTAACCATATAAAATGAATTGCAACATGAAAGCTGTGACAAAGGCTGTCCGTGTTCTTGAGAAATTAATTTGGCGCTCAAAGTATTGAACGGAAACAAATAAGGGGACTATTTTTAAAAATATTTTTCGGTGTAAAGATGTAATGGGCAATCGTGCACGGATTAAGAGGATTCTAATTCACGTGTACGGTGCCCATCTTTTGAGTTATTGTTCTGATTTGTCGTCCGGCCGGAACAAATACCTGCGACAAGTGAGAAGATTACTATCGATGGCGAAGCTGTTACGCTAATTACTGATGTGCGACTGCACATTTTGCCGAGGTCAATTCTCTCCGCTATTTTCTGAGATACACATTGTGTCATCGTTGTTCTCGGTAGAAGCTTTTAATGGAATTATACTCGTAGTCTATCCTCATTCCAGCCCTCTCCCATTTTCCCCAGAGGATCTTCATCTTCCAGTCGTATCCGAACGGCTTACGACCCGAGGTTTCGCGTTCCACCTGAGCGTGAAGGTGGAACGGAACGGCTTGTGTCCGTGGCTTGATGGGAAGACTGACTTTCCTCCGGCAGAGACAGAGAAATTTCGATGTGTACATAGCGGGGTCGCGAGCGTGTAAGATATCGTAGTAGACTTATGAACGTAAATGGTGTAATACAAGTGATCAGGGGGGACGGGAAACGAAGGTTGTAGGACGATCCCCGATCGTCCCTCACACTTTGCTCTTCTTGCGTCGATGTTTCTCCTAGTCGTTGCGATTCTTCTCTGTAATGTCTTCTCGAGATTTGACTCTTTCATTTGCACGAGAACATCGACGCGTCGACTGCCACCCTCGCACCGTTCCTGGCAGCCATGGGAATCATGGGAACCATGGGAACCACGGGACACCCAACAGCAGTAGTTCGAAGAAGCCGTGCAAATAATATACTGGTACGATATAATATCAGAAAAAAAACATTCGACATGCATTTCTTCATTTGTAGACGAATGTCTAATTTTCAACGCTCCGAAACTTGAATTTAATTATCATTAAATAAGGAAACTTAGAACGCTGTTTGATAGTGATTTTTCACACCGACATTTATTATTTCTTATCATTTCGTTTTAGTATCTATCCTTCCGTGGGTAAAATACTTAAAATTGTACGAACTGCATTTTTTTCAGCAGGTCTATTTTTGAAAAAGGTATCTTCCTGACTGACGTAATGATGTTTTTTCGTTGCTCTGGTGCAAAAATCAAGATAAACTGAATATATTATTATTTAAAAGTTTCAACGACACTTTAATGTTTATAAGTTACAATTACTTGGCTTTTTCGTTTTTACGATAACGAAAGACAGAAATAAATCAAGATTTAATGTCCGTGAGACAACTGGACTTTTAGATATCATGTGTTAACTATAACGAGTATAATGTTTAAAGAAGTATGTATACTTATTCCGAACATTTATAATTTATTTTTATGAGTTGGAAGATATCTTTTTGTTGACGTGTCTCTAATATTGCTGCAAGAAAATACAGTAGGACTATCCGAGAAAAATCTTTTGAGTAGCTTAAAAAATTCTCGAACTAAATGGCTTAAAGTGTAAAGCTCGAGAATCATTTATCGCGGCAAAAATTTGTTCTCCAAAGCTTTGAGGGCTGTTCTCGTGCCTACGAAGCAAACGATTGTAGGCATAACAAAAATACGTATCGAATAGTTTTCCGAACACTGTGTTGTAATGAGAGAGCATCGGTGTGTGTCGCGTGACTTCTCGCGTAAACGTCGATCGAGATTGACTTTGCAGCTGGATGAAATACTGACGTGAACACCGGTCGTCGTACAGTTCGCAGTCAAGTAAGAAGTGCAATGAACGACAGTGTACACTGCGATCGTTTTTCCGGCAGTCGACGCGTCGATCCTAAGCATATGCACAAGGCGTTCGTAAAAACACGATTTTAGATATTACGACGGGCGAGAGAATTCGAATAGTTGCGCAGTGCAATAATTCGTAGATCCAAAGATTTCGTAAGTGTTAAAAGTGAAATTAGTTTAAATCAGTCTTGTCCATGGATTGGACATACTACGCGGCTCGCTATATTTCTGGTGGTTGTCTCCGTAATTCCGGTTGTATCGCGAGTTTCAGAAACTGAATATGAGTCATCGTAATTAAGAACCAATTTTAGTGGATTTATTGTATAAGGAAAATCCGAGATATTTGGACCTGAAGTATGTGAAGAGACTTTGGACAGGGCTGGTACAGACATAAATGTTTTATAATAATATAAACAGCAATCTTTTAATTCCTCAACTAACAGTACGATATAAATTGTCAAGTTCCAGGTTTTGTGATATCATTTTCGAACGTTCTATCGAGTTATTTTCACTTTCACTATTATAGAGACTATGGGAATCCAAGTTTCCTTGTTACAAAACTGCACTATCATTTAATATTACTACACTTATGGTAACGTTTCCTTACTATAAATCAATGAACAATAGTCTTCGCGAATTCTTTAGAATTCCTCAGGTTGTTTAAAGATCTTATTCACCGACTAAACGAAAAGTCTATCTCTTAACAGTTTATATTATATTTATTTCTATACAGTTAATTAACCCATAACGATCGCAAGTCACCTCGCACGTGCCTACGACCAAGTACTGTTGTCGCGTCAGAGACGATTTGCGACCGTTAAGAGTTAACCGCATTATTGTTATTTCAATGAAATATTATCGACACCAACATTTGTAAGAAGGTATCGGTCGATCTGGAGAGAATAACTAATAGGACACGCGTTCAACGAGTTCGGCGAGTAGCAAAATCCAGTACGAAGTTCGCGTATTCCTGATCGACCGATTCTTTTTCCTTTCGTATGTATTCGATCAGTGTCGGTGAAAGAAAGGAATCGAATGATTGCAATGCGAACGCATTATTTCGAAAATTGTTGCTAATTATCCCTGCGTTATTGCGTTCCAAAGAGAAAAATTGGTGCAGCGCTTGATCGTCGTGCAATTCGAGGTGATCCGTAGAGATAATAAAAAAGAGCGAGAGAGAGAGAGAGAGAGAAATGAGAGACAAATGTATTCACTGATGAACCGTGCGCGACGAGGACCGCCATCTTTGCCGGACGTGGAGGAATCATTGATCGAGCGGATTAGTTCCTTTCTTTATTTATTTTCTAATAGCGATAAAGCTCGAATCGGACGTGGACAGAGGGCAAAGGTGGCGCGAGGCCTCGCGGCACACGGGGTTTGCGCAAAAGAACGTACAAATTGAAAACGTGAAGAAGGGTAGAGGCGAGTGATCAGTGTCTTTTAAAATCAAAAGGATATGTGCACGAAGCTATTGCCGAGAATGCCATATATAAACGCGCTATTTTGTACCGAGCAGCCTGATTAGACGCAAAACTTCCTACTTTCTTGGACACATTATATTTATTATTGTTCATGTTTATTAGAATGATATATATATGAGACAGAGATTATTCCCTGGATATCTATAACGCCTTGAAAGAATAAAACGGATACTTTACGGGAAAAGGACTATTTTATTACAGCCTCCTCGATTCAAGTCCTATATTAATACTATTCTTACCGAATAAATAACCTTGACATATATAGATATGTACTTATTTTTACGGAATTGATTTTATAATTATTAATTAAAGAAAAGTGGTTAAATGTAGAAAAATAATTATTAATATTTTGTTATTAATCTTTTTAAAAATGACGAGCGACGCTACGTAACCTCCTGGTTACCTAGAAAAGTGACCTTGACAACACATGTTGAGGCCATAGTCAGTGGTGGAGTGTTTGTGTGAAACAATATTTTTACTAATATTTAATTTCAAAAAAGTTTGAACAAAGTACGAAGCGCAACTGCATGCAATATCGTTTTTAATTCAGTATCGATATATTTAAATCAGTATTTACTTAATCTATGTGGATTATAATAATATTCCACATCCATGAAGTTATAATATAGCACTGTTTCCCCTGAATATTTAATTTAAACATATTTTCATACGTATGCATATTGCATAGCTATTCTTCTACACTTTTAATAACACAGGTAGGTGCTCCTTCAGATACTTAAAGCATGCATTACGTCTAAATTATCAATAACAACATCAAATTAAATTAAAATGGAAATCTGTAACCTCGTGCATATTGATTCTGAATAAATTAATATTAATTCTGAATATAATGATCGCCGCAGTAATGTGAAGAATTCGAGATACGTTACGAAATAATAGTTCGGCAAACAGCCAACGTCTTCGGTAAATGATATTCCACGTCCTTCGTTGTACGAAGTTAGCAGAAAGTTTTCGCATCTCGAGAACTGTTAGCATAAGGAAAACAATTTGAAATAATGAAGTCAGACATTCGAAAACAATGCAATATTGTGTGCAGCGGGAGATTCTAATAGCGAGATGACTGATTCGTCGCGGTTCAATTCAACGGGGAGGCCATGGAACCGTTTCAGCATCAAATTAGCATTGTTAATCGGAGAATCGATACCGTGCCGACTTGTACTTTGTACAATTTCTTGGGCGTTCTTCCGGTCGGCGGAGTAGGTCCGCAAGGTAAGCAGCCACTTCGGTGAAGATGCTAATTAACCAAGTTTCAATCTTAACAAAGTTTTTTGATTAGCCGGTAAATTGTTATACGATGCGGGTTCGTTGCCGCAGCTGGCTCGTTATTATCTTCCCAAACAAACCTGAAAACGTACGGTGAAGCGCGGCGATATAATGGAGAGAGCCGGCCAAGTTTCGTCGTTAAAACTGTTGGCCGAGCGCCGATTGTTATGCTCTCTGTATCTTTGGAAACTCACCTGACGTGGAAAGGTCTTGATAGGCGATAACTTGAACGTTTTCTTCGGTGCTGCACATTGGCGCGATCAGGATGGTCGAGAAGAGTCGCCATATCTACCCGGAAGAATTTTTCAATAACTAGACTGCAGATTTTATACATGTATACAGAAGCAGGCGATCCAACGACCTTTTCAACTTCTCGGAAATATAATTCATAAATCAATTTATAAACTGCATTTTTTTTATATATTTCTGTATTCTTTATTTTCTCAGAATAAAATTGTGTCACGTATTCGTTAAATGTATACTTGTTTAATTCGAAGTTATTAACTGTCATTATTTTTCCATTGCATCTTTTGTCATCGTTTATTACGTTTTTATATATCATGTTTATATTACATGTTTTAACATACGGACAGTGGGCTTCGGATCCATTTGAACCCAGAGAATAAATAATGTTTCTTAACTACTTATTTTCTAGCAATTAATTTAAGTTTTTACAAAACTAACGCGTTTAAAAGGAGCACCTTAAAAATATGTTGAAAGAAATTAACCAAACAGTGCATATTTCACAGGCTCTAGAACTTCACCGACGACAGCTTTAGCCGACGACAGTACAGTAAAAATAAGCAAATTAATAATAAATAAAAATACAAAAATAAGCAATTTGGGAAGAGTATGAAATATCACATAACCTGAGCACTGTCTCGGTTAGGTCTGGGCTATATCTGGCATAGGTAAGGAAATTATTAAAATAATTCTTGGATATTTCATTCTTTGTTTAAAAACAACAATCTGTACAATGCCTGCATTTCATACATTGCCGGTAACATATACAGTGCGAAAAGACAAATTTATCCCAGACCTAACTCAGACCTAACCCAAATCTAACTCAGATAACCTAATATTAAAATAATATTTTATATACATATACATTTTTTTTATATTTATAAGAGAAATACGCAGCCGACTAACACTCCTTTCATATAATCTAGCTATCGGTTAATACTGTCGTTGTCGGTAAAAATTATTGTCGTTGAAGTCTGGAGTCGGTGAAATACCGTCGGTGAAAATCGAGTCGCAGAAGTCTGCGTCGTTAAATCCATGGAGCCGTAAAACAATAGTAATATAATAATAGTACAATTAATCACGTATTGTTTTTAATTCCTCAATTTGAAATGTTGTCTTTATGCTCGGATGCAAGCTTAACATTGATGAACAATGGAATTAGTAACACAACACAGTTCCTGAGAATTTTTTCTATGTTTTAATAACTGCATTTTCACGTCGTTGCACAAGTTCTTCCTACGTATTCATCTCTGTAGAATAAACTTTTTGTTTTGTAAGTCCGCATAAACACTGTAGACCTTCTACGTGCTGCAATGGAAAATGTTCGAATTGTTTGAAAATTCGTTCGAACAATAGATTTGTTTACATCCCCGTAACGAAGCGTTTCTTTACGAACTTTGTAGAACATTCTTTTCTTCTTTTTGCTGTAGACTGTAGATTTAAACCCTTGTAGTTTGGCGGTTTATATTTGGAACCCTTTATATACATACGCCTAACGGAATCCTTTTATCAAACACGAAATTTAATTTGTATTACAATCTACTAAATAAGCGAAACTTCGTTCGGACCCGCAAAGTGTAAAATAATTACATAAGTAATAGCAGTAATAAGTTCATTCCGGTGTTTAATATCAAATCGATTTCTTGGTTATTGGTGATTATTATTAGATTGCAGTTTCTATGCATTTATGACAAAAATAGGCAACAGAAAAGCAGAACAGTGGAGACAGAAGACAGAATTAAGAATACTGTTATAATATTTTCAGTACATTAAAGCTATTAATAGGAGAATTACATTGTCATGTAACTCATGTTTTGTATAAGTGAAGTTTCTATTTTGCATAAAGATTCGCAGTTTAATTAGACTGTGGATTTCTATGCAAAAGAAAAATTCTTTGTACCAGTTACGGGACATAATAAGCCAATTGGAATTTATTTCTCTGTTTATTATTTTTCATATGTTGTCAGTAATGTATAAATGTTCTTAAATTCCTTTTATTTTTCTATTGTCTGAAATTGTTCGTACTCATTTTTTTCATTAACCCTTAACTGGTATCATGTGTGATCCCATCATTGTATTCCTATTTCATTTTGTAATAAAAATTCAATTTTCCATGTTTTTTCATATTATTTAAAATACCTTCACACCAAATTTCATTTTCCCCATAATTGACAAATGCATCGAATAACAAATTTAATTTTTTCGTATATTATGTAAAAGTTAGTACTCCAATTTTGCTGTGTATTCATTTCTTAGGGGTGTGTACGGGGTGCAGAAAAATTATATGTCTCAATCACCATGCGTTATTTTAGATCTCTGGATCGGTGGAAATATGCTAAATGGACCAAAAAATTGTTCTTGATCTTGAAAATCAAAGTCAAAGTGTTATTTCTTATTTTATATTGCAACGTCTAGTATTTATCGAGAGGAACAAAAGTTTGAAACGAACCACAGATCTCAAGTCTGCTCTTTACATAAACAATGTTAAAAATGGCATATACAAATTATATGTCACGATCACAACACTCAAAAGTGATTTTACATGCAAAAATTAGTCGAAAAAAGAGTGACATTTTTTAATTTAAGGCTTTGTTTTTGAGAAAACTGAGTTGAAAGTTTTTGGTGTTTCATGGCCGGACGTGTTATTATTTTTTCAAGCTAATTTTTCTCGAAAACGGAGCCTTACATGAAAAATGTTATGCTTTCCTTTTTTCGACTTATTTTTGCATGTAGAATCACTTTACGACCTGTTGTATCACGATTTTGGGGACACTCTACATAATTTTTATATGTCGTTTTTAACATCGCTTCTTATTTAAAGGGTTGACTTCAGACCCATGGATCATTTGAGACTTTTGTTCCTCTCGATGAATACTATACGTTGCAATAAAAAAACTTGTCTCTTTGACCTTGATTTTCAAAATGGAGGATAATTTTGCGGTCCATTTTTTAACAGATCTCCACCGATCCAGTCGTCTAGAATCGCGTTATGATGGTCGTAAGATATAATTTTGATACACCTTTACTAATAAATGCTTGTTACCCAAAACCTAGAGGTGCATCATTTTGTCGTGTATTCATTTCATGGCTACCACCTCTCATCATTTCAATTTCTAAGTTGTTTGCACAAATAAATGTTTGTTATTAAAAACGTAGAGTGTCCACATCATTTTGATCATCAGTGTATTCATTTCTTAGTTGCTTGTACAAATAAATGTTTCTTACTAATAACCTAGACGTTCCTTATCATTTCGACTAACAATGTAATCATTTCCACGTGTACGTAGAAATAAATGTTTGTTACTGAAAATCTAGTGGTGCATCATTTTGTCCACCGGTGTCCAGTACATTCTCCTCAATTGTCCTTCAAACTGTACATAAAAATGGACAATTTTGATTATTTGAGCCTTTGAACCTCGATTTTATAGCTGTTTCTCAACAACTATAAAATAGCCATATATGATTAAAGTATTTGACAAAATAATTTACGTATGTAAACACTTATAGTATGTATACACTATACATATATAAACACTTCAAGTCTTACGTGAAGATATTACATCGCTTCTTGATTGTAAAAATAGTAAGAAAATATTCAATCATATTTTGAGGTGTCTCCGAATGTTAAAGTAACGCTAAAATCATTGTTTCATTTAA